GAGAGAAGAGAGAGGAAAGGAGAGGAGAGGACGGAAGAGAGAGGAGAGACGATGACCCCGGAGAGAGGATGACCCCGGACTTAAGTTTCCTGATTGGTGTTGCACGTGGGGTGTTGTTATCTTCGCGATCTACTTGTCACGTGTCTGCATTTGGGTTCGTGGATCCTATCAGGTTGCATTTTTTCCGAGCGTGGTGTTTCTCGACAAAAATACCAAGCTTGGCAGTATGCCATGTTGTCATCCGCCTATGCATCTTACATCACCACAGGCCATCCTGGCCTGGAGCGCATGGGATGAAGTCTTCCTGGCTCCCCGACAATTTCCGCAGATGGAGGCGTTCGGGGATTCCGCGTCGTGTCAATTCAATTCAGTTGGTAATGGTTCGCTTCAGCTATGCAAGGTTGAGTTAACTTTTAGCTGGACTGATTGTAGGATTGGGATTTTGGGAGTCAGATCACATTGTACCCGCCCTCGAAAGGCGCCGATAAGCGTGGATGTTGACAAGGTTTCTCTGGAGGACCAGCCGATGACAGTTGAAAACGTAGCACTGCTGCTTCTGGCTGCTAAATTTTCCCACTTTCTGCGAGGAGCTCCTACCCGCGCTGCCCATGGAGTCGCGGCGTGTGCTCATGGAGCAACAGATACAAAGACCAAGCCCAAGCCCAAGCTTTCTCAATCCAACTGCTTGGAGCTGCTTCCTTGCCGTTCCTTCCAATTCCATTTGGCAGGCCCCATCCAGGCTTTGGCGCTGCCGCATATTGGCTCTGGAAAGCATGCAGCTTCTCAGATGCAATGAGCTGCATCTTGGATGGCGGGATAGGCGCTAGGCCAAGTCAGCGTTAAAAAGTGAGATTGTCAAGCTGCGCCGCAGCACCAAACACGTTTGCGTAATGCGCGCTTGGGCACATCTAGGCATGCTGGACAGCACTAATTTGCCCAGCCAGTTCGCCTTGCCACCAGCCAGATCCAGTCATGGAGTCATCGAAGGGCATTGCGGCAGAGAGTTGGATGCGTAGTCCGCAAGGTGCCTTCATTAAAGCTAGAGCATCAACCATGTGCTCTGCACTTCGGCATGTTTACTGCAAAAGCACATGATCTCAGCCTTACGACAGTGCTGCTGCTTTGCATTCAGGTAGGTCACCGCCTTCTATGTTGTTCCTAGGGGCTAAGACCATTGTTTTAGTTTCGAGTTGCTGCAAATCAAGGTTCTCATCTCGGAGACAGGCGGAAGTCTGATGCACGTGTGCTTGCTTCATTGGTTGGTTGACTGCATTCGCGTATTAGGCAATGGGGTTAATTTCTTTAAGGCAAGACATCCAAGACGCGCAGAACATATGCACACTGAGCAGATGCAATTGAGACATTTCCGCAACAAAAGCTTTCCAGCCACCTCATCGGGACAGGGGAGAGACCCAGATATCCGCACGAAAGTAATTACGTGCTCTGGATGACCTGTGCGACCAGGGACCGAATCTCACAATCTCATATTCCGGGCGGGTGGCCGGACTTCAAACATCCTGGGCCAGCTCTGCGCAGAAACCCCTACAAGATCTTCAGCCTATCCTGGGAACTGAAGGTGAGTGCGCGCCCAAGAGCAAGCAGCAGTCGATATGCCGCCTTGATTTTTGTGTAGGAAGCAAAATGCCAATCAAGAAGCAATCCACCGATGTGGCCCAAATAATCAAGCAGCCCAGCAGAATGTGGTTGCGTGGCGTCATTGATTTTGATGAATCTGGTTCATACCATTTCAATCCATGACATCTGCAAATCAGCCTCCTGAGTGTGACACCTCGACCTTTTGTTGGAGGGTTGCTACGGCAAGTGTAGGCGGGTAGTAGGATTATCGGTCTCTTGCGCAACTGATGGAGTCTCTCACGCTTACGCTTGGCGCAGATCACCGGCATCAGCCGGCAAGCATGTCTGAACAGGTGAAATGCCTAGCCCTAACGAATCACATGCAAGGAATTGAAGCTGGGAAGCAAATTCAGCAAAGATGGCCGGCTACGCGGCTACAATGAATGCATCGCATCCGTCAAGAGCAGGGGCTAGCAGACTGCTTTGCCTTGGGATGTCTTTGGATGTAGCAATGATCAGACCAAAGAAGCAACTGTTTGCCTTGAAGTCTTGAAGCTGCTTATTGTGTGAGCGTGTCACACGCTAAGTTGCAGACACGAACGGCTAGCAGAGACGCATCATCCAAAAGAGGAAAAGCAAAGGCGTCCGTACTTCACCGCTTCCTGCCCTGTTGCCATGAAATTGAAAGGACACGCGACGCATAAACCTGGCTTCCGTCATTTCCGCTTCGACATTCCTTGCTCTTTAGTTCGAATCTGGTCATCTACGCAGGGAGATGCTGAAGACAAACGCCGCCTGGATTAATGTTTGGTCTAGCGAGGCTGTCGGTGTCTCTTGCTTAGCGCCATCCGGGTTGCACGCGTCCCACAGGGAATAACTTCACGTTTCGTTGCATGTGCAGAGAGCAGAGCCTTGAATGGTGAAATGACAGCATCCTATGTAGGTTTGGGAGCCAGGACTAAAGAAATGGCGCAAGCCTTTAAACAAGCCCGCGTCCTCCTGTTACATCTTCTCGCGGAGAAACCAGCCGCGGACGAGCCAGGTACAGCACTGCAGCATGGAACTGTATTGTGTTGGCCAGCACGCTACACTCGAACTTGGCTTGCTCGTTTGCAATCTTCAAAGCAGGTTCTGGCAAGACGCTAGCTTACCTGCTGCCTGCACTCCAACGTGCTCGTGAAGCAGATGAGGAGCCATCAAGAATGAGCCAAGCCAACTGAGCTCATGCTATGTGCGCGCTTCCAGTTCTCAGGACGCTGACGAGACCAGCACAGGCTCCGAGCAACGAGTACAGCCTCACTGTGTTCTTGCAGCACGTCCCCGCGAGGCCCCATTTCTGTGATGATCTTGACCCCAACAAGGCAACGGAAACCACAGCACTACATTGGCAGCTATGCGTTGCACAGCATTGCCCTGTTTGCTTTATCAAGGGAGCTGGCGGTTCAGACCTTGGCGGAGGCTGAGGAGCATTGCCAAGGCCATGCTCAAATCAGATCCTTTGATTCGTAAAAAGACTTTGGGTTTGACTTGCGGGCCAGCTGTTAGGCATCTTGGCTTTGGCAACTCTCTCGGCTCGTGCTTCCTGGTGGAACCTTATGGATGCGTCAGTTATCGTGGCTACGCCTGCTGACGTTTGGCCGCATAGCTGTAGCAGCCTGATGGGCACGCCAGGTGTGTTAGAACGACATTGATTGGAGGATTCAAGTATGGCTGAGTCTTACAATGCTCAGAACTAGGGCCCGCACGGCCCTGTGTCGCAAGAGCTGTTCGAGTAGCGCCTCAGCACTGGTCCTTAAAAGATTCACAGTAGAGCACTTGCGCTGCTTCGACAGCAGCTACACCGTATTGACCACAAAGGCACAATCCGAAGATTGCAACCCAGGATTTGCTCGACGTTTTCGACAAAGAAGATGCGGAGGACCATGTGGCAATAACTCATGTAAAAGCTCAGCGTGCCGAGCCGACAGTGGCTGTGGCCATGTCCCGACAGCCTCCTGCTGTTTTCCAGTCGGTTGCCAGTCGAGATGCAGGACGTTAAAGACCTGTTGGGCCGCGTTGAGGCAAGTCACGTACATGCACGTGCATGTTGAACATGGAATTGTTGGCTTGCTCAGCCAAATTGTTCGTCGTGCATGATTCTGCATAGAAAGGTCGTTGTGTTGGACGAGTTGGATGAGCTTCTCAGCGGTTTAATGGCTTCAAACCGTGTGAATTCCAGTGTCCAGCTCAGAGCAAGGCTCTTGCCAAAGCGCAAGTACACAGGGAGGAAGCTGGCGAGGCCTGTGCTGCAAGTCCATTCCTTGGTGTTATGCCATGGCAATGGTATGTACGCTTTGCAATGCCCCCTGCGGTATTCGTTGGAAAAGTCCTGTAACTTAGTACTTGTACCGCAACCATGTTGCGAGTTTCTCTAAGTCAATGTTGCGAATGAAATTTGCGTGCCGATTCGCAAATTTTCGCAGCAAAAAAAAAAAAAATCCAAAAATGACAGCATGTCGTTAGTTTCCGCGTGTTCGCCAAAATCCACAAATGCCTCGGCTCAGCCTCCTTGCCAGTTTACGGATTTTCATTTGCAATTTTTCGCAAAAAACTCTTTACAAACACCTGCAAATTCTCGCTGAAATCTGTAAGTTTTTGCAGAAATCTGCATATTTTCACCAAAAAATGTTAATTTTCGAAAAAATGCAGATTTATGCAAGAATCCATAATTTTTTCGCGAAAATCTGTAAATTTTCGCAACAATCTGTAAATCTTGGCACTCATATGTGAATGTTTGATTTTTGAATTTTCGGGCTCCCAGCCCACAAGCCTTTCAAAAATCCAAAAAAATTCGAATTTTCACGCATTCGGCTCAAACCATATCGCGTAAATATCGTTCATCGTTTGGCTGCCACATGTTTCTAGGGTCCCCTCAGTAGGGCACTCTGTTGGCAGAAGCTGTGTTTGGCATGGTATGCAGACTGGGCACAGCAGGTACCAAGATCCTGGAATGTGGCCAGCAGAGGGGCTCTTGAAGCGTTTGATGAGGCGAAGGGTCTAGAAACACAGCTGTGGCTTCTCGTCGGATCCTTGTGCCTGTCCTCCTCACTTAGAGCAATTGGCTTCTGTGGCCTGCCGGAGTGAATCAAAATGACTGCCAGCTCAGCATGCTAGTTACCAAAGAGAACTCTGCAAAGCTGGCACGAGCTGCCAGGAACAACGAAAGGGAGAGTTTGCAAGTGGTTGCAGCTTCCGCTACCGCATACCGTTCAAGCCGATTGAGGTGAGGATATTGGCTTCGTGTAAGGTCACGGTTGACTCTTGAAGGCTGCTCTGCTGCAGAGGCTAGAGAAGGTGCTGAAGCGGGACAAGCTGAAGCGCTTTCCAGTTCCCTTGCCACGACTAGTACCTTGAACGCAGAATTCTTGTAAACTATGACGTGCTTTTCTTGAGGAGCTTGCTGAGCATCCATTCCGTTCAGCTAGTGGGAATTGAGGATCCACAGCGCAGCTCTGCAGCTAGCGTGGAGGCAGACTTCACTTCATGTCTGCCAAAAGGATGCTTGCGTCTCAAGCGTGCAAAGGCTGCAGCAGCAGCAAGGAGTGTCGCGGAGGACTGCCAGCAGGGAAGCTGAATTTACATTCTGCTCAACACGATTTCGCTGCCTGCGAGCGCAGCTGTAAATATGTGACGACGCAGGACGAGGAAGTCGAAGAGCGCCAAGCGCCCCTTGGTCTTCGTTTGGGAGCATTTGTATACTATCGATTTGCAGTAACTATGGCTCGAGAACAGGCACAACAAACTAGCCAAGGTTGGAAGAGGACGTGCGTGAGAGAAGCATGTACCGGGCGCTACCGGTCACCTAGCTGGATGTTCAGGAAGATCGAAATCACTCGCTCGCCTAGCGCACGTATCGCACTTCCGCCAGGTATAATAGGCTCGCAGCAAAACGGACAAGGGACACTGTAGGATCTGTAGGGAACTCACAATTTTTTGTTAGATGCAGTCCAAGGGCAATGAAGGGGTCGCTGGAAGTACTCCTGTGCGTGAATCTGACAGGTCGAATTAAGGCCCTTCCAAGTCTCCGACGCAGAAGTCTCAAAACAGCTTCCCAGGGCTCCACTTGCAGAACCACTGCCGACGAGAGTGGGGCAGAGCGGGGTGAGGAGGGACGTGATCCGCATCTGTTCAAGGTCTGTTGAAGGGCGAAGCGGCTCAAATGAAAATGGTTTGGCTTTGGGCACATTTGCCGGGACTTGCGCTTTACATGCCTTATCTTGATCGTGCATTGAGGTCGGCATTCAGCATCTTACCTGGAAGGCTGGCTGTCTGGATGAGCATGAGCATAAGTCCGGGTACATGCTTCAAGAGATCTTGCTCGTGCGCTTTCTGAGTGACTCATGCAAGCAAGCAGGTTCCGCTCAGTGGAAGCCATGCCGCTGCACTTAGCGCAGCTTTGGATCTGTTGCGGCCACAGGCGAGCGGTTGGACGCGTAGCAGGTGTTGCAAGCATGAACGCAGCGCAAATGAGTTCAGGCGGCCCTGGTGTTTGTTTGTCCGAACGCTGGGGAGACAGTGAAAAGCGTTGTGCAGGACTGCTGCCCAACCGCAACACTCTTTGCTGTGTCAAGTCTTAGTTCGCCATCCATGCTTATACGTAGCTTACAATACAATGCCTGTAAAACGCGTTTTTTCAATCCCTCTCAGCTCATGCCCTTGTTGGTCAACACTGGGCCCAATTCAGTGAGGACCTCCAGACAGCTGGTTGGTCAGGCGCAGATGCGCTGACCCGACTGTGACAAGGCAGCAATTTGAGTATCGAGGTCGCATGTCAGTGTGAACACGATATGACGCGATGTTGCTGGCCAATGGCAGCTGTGATGCTCAACCATCGACATCTATTGACACCTTCAGTTGTTCACATGCCTGTTACTAACACGTTCTGCAAGTTGTGTAACGTATGTCGCCAGAAACCACCATCAGAAAACAAAAACATCACGTTCTCGTTTTGTGCGCGTACATGCGTGCATGTCTGATCTTTGCAAGTCCCCAGTTAGCCAATATGGGAAGGAGCATGCTGCATCATTTCGCCAAATGCGGTGCAGCTCCAGGCACAGAACGCCAAACCATGCCAAACCTAAAGACCTATAGTCTAAAATGAAAGCTAGTTTGCTCAGAGCGCAGCATGCGAGAAACAATGTACAGGTCGTAGCAGGAAAGGCTGGGTGTCGTCTCAGGTGTCACTTGAAAATGACATCAAAGTTTCAAATTCCCAGGTTGTTCCCGGACTCGCGAACGGTGTCCGGGAAGGCTTCGAAGCAGAGGGGCGAGGTGCACCTGCAACCCATCAAGCAAACCAGAAACTCCTTTTGTAACATTTTAGATTTTTCTCAAGGAAATCTAAAGTGTGGCAAAGTTGTCTGGGCAGGCGAAAGGCTGGCGAAGTGCCAACCGACTTCTGGATGTTCGGGACACCACAAGGCAAGCGGCACATGGGCTTCAACACTCAACACCTCATGATACCTCATGTATGTACCTCCATCGAGAGGCGAGGATATCTCGCTGAAGGTGACTTCTACCGCGAGGCCCAATGAAGATCGCAAAAGGCAGCATGTGCGAATCATGGAATGCGCATAGTCAACTTCCAAACAGCTAGGGGTAGGTTGCTTTCCTAATCCATGACAAACTTTTATATTTTGGGGTTGTTTGCGCAATTCGTTCTAACTACAAAAAGCCGCAAAGAGACATAGCTGGTCAACGCCGACGTAGCACGTGCAATGTTTGACGCGGGCATGCAAAGACCTAGCTGTCCATGAGATTGCACTGCACGGCAGGCACCCATCCTTGTCAGTGCTGAGGCCACGCTTGGTTCAAGTACTCATTGTCTTCACTTAGAACTAGATCTAGGCAACGTAGTGGCATGTGATACTTCGCCGGTCAACTGTGAATTCGACATTGGCAGCCAGGAATCGGTTCGCGGACTCCACCTTGACGCTGTGGAGGCCCGGACAGTGGAGGGTTAAGGGGAAAAGAGGCAGGTCTGAGCTGTCTACTTTCTTTTAGGCGCATGCAAATGACCAATGAAAGGCTGTCTTCATCCTGGGCTTGCCGAAGAACGGCGCCTCATATGTTCACATGGTATCTGCCGCAGAAAGTGCATGTTGAACTGTTGTTCAGCTGGTGAATTTGTCTTTCCAAGCTGCAGGTGGTGTGTTGGGTAATTTCATTTTGCTTGCAAAGCTCGGCCATCGAAGCTCAGATCGCCTTTCAGCTATTGCCACCTTCCTACAGCCACCATCAGCCACCTTCGTCCAGCCACCTGTAAGCTTCCAGAGCTTCCCTGCCATGTGCAGCTTAAAGTCACTACTAGCCGTCCTGACCGCAAGACATCCAAAGATTCACTGAGTTTGGGTCATGTAGACACAGCTCAGTCCCATGCCTCCATTCCTTGCCCTGTGCCGACATGGGTTCGGGGCCAATCTGGTTTGCATTCCAACCTGCCTTGTCCAATTTGGCTGTGTTTCTGTGAGGCTCAAAGCCATGCCTCTGCTCCTCACCTGCAATGGGCGAAATATGTGAAGACTAGACGAGCTTTGCTCACGGGAATGGTTAAGGCGTTGTGAAGGTCGACTTTGACTGCTCCGTCCAAGGCATCCGGGCTTTGTGGCAGCGATTTTCAGAGCAGCATGACGCAAGATCATGCATGTGATATTTCCACCAGTGCTAAAAAGCACCTGAACTATGTGCTGGCTAGCCATCTTCAGTCATAGGCTTGGGTCTTATCTCGGACATGGACATCAGTGGGGCAGCGTCAAGGGAGTCAAGGGCTTCTTGATTACAAGAGCGCCAGACAGATGGGGGACGCAATCAATTTGTTTAGCTCGGGAGTGTTGTCTTCATACTTGATTTTCATCTGGAACATGGCGACGGGCCCCTCCGTTCCATACACAGTTGAATTTTTCAGGACCTCTGGATCATCGGACTTGCATTCCCGCTCCAACCCCCTGTCGTTCCATGCCTTTGAAAGGCTGTATGACTTTCATTCCACATGCCGTTTCATACTCGTTCCGTCTCCGTTCCAGACCATGAACATTTCATTAATGGAAAACTTCTGCCGAGAGGTTCCAATGGTCTTTTCAACAGACATCCGCTTTTCTCTGAGCCTGATTTAGAGTTGTTCTGCAGGCGATTCTCCAAAATAGGGGTTCTGAACTCTGGTCAACCCACATTGTATTTCAGGGACTGTCTGATAAGGTGTGTCCAGGTTGTCGCGAACTTGAACTAAGCATTGCCGAGCATTGGCCAAGCCTGCTCAGACGACATGGCCAAGAAAGAACGAAAGAACGTGACCGACGGAAAAAACATACGGTTCCTTGGGAGGACAATTTCTCTCCGGATTGTCAGCCTCAACCCTAAGCCCCAAACCTCAGTGTTTGAAGTTGAAAGGTGGCGTATCGATTTTTTGTGTCTACCCTCCAAGAACAACATGGCCGCTTAAAAGGACGTATGTAAGCATCTCCCTGCAAGAATCAGAGAGCCAGTGCGATGGACAGTCTCTGCAACTCCCAGCCCCCGCTTCAAATAAAAACAGGCCAAAGCATGGCAAAGAAAGCGCACTTGGGGAGTCCTCTCAAAACTCAGCCAGGAGCTGCATGTTCCCATCTTTGTCCATCTTTTGTAACATTTTGCGACCGGGGGGCTATTACCCCCCAATGCCCGCCAGACAGCGCAACATTTGAATGCTCTCATCTTCGTCCATGGTTTGCAAATGGGAGGACTTCGCCGCTCCTAACAGGAGCGTAAGAACCATTCACAGAGAAACATCTTTTTGCAGCACTTCCCCCGAAATCGGCCTTCACTGCTGAAGTTGTAGTCTGCTAAGCGCGTAGCATGCTTAGACATGGTGCGGCCCAAATCTTAGCAAGACTCACCAAAACTTGCTTCGTCCAACAGGCTTATGACTTTGGGTTTCCCGCCCCAACCTCCCCGCCATGCTAAACGCAGGCCAACGTCTGGCCAAACAAATGCAATACTTGGCAAGTCCGATCACAATTTAACCTACTGGTTCTCATGTTCGTCCATATTCGGCAATGTTTTCCAAATGGCAGGGGGCTGCGCCCCCCAAGACATTTTCCACAAGCAAGCGTGCGATGCCTGGAAGATTTTGGCATGACGCAACAAAATCTTCGTTAATGTTTTAAATGGGGCTGCCCTACCCTGCAAACATCATCTACGTAGAAAATCCCACCCTTACCTTGTTGTGGTTGCGGTGCATCATCATGCATCTGCCATGTAATTCTAAAACGTTACGGCAACCTGCAACTGTATACTCCAAGCACTACCGTTGGGGGTGTGGAATGGCTTGTGCGAGTCTGCGAGGCTTGGATGTTAATCATTTTCCGGGATTATTCCAAAAACATCCCGAGGATTGGCACTGCAGGGAAAGACTTGGGTACTGCAGGGAACCCAGGGGTACCTCGGGTTGGGATGCTCGGAGGTGGACGCTGTTCTGCCTTTGGGGCAGTGAAGGCTGCATGTTTTGGGGTTATTCGCGGCAGGGAAACTCTGGGGCTGAGAAGTTGTCAAGAATACAAACTATTGGAAAATATTCTGGGGCTGGGACTTTGCGGTTGGGCATTGCTGGGATACTCTGCAGCCGGACATTGCGTGGAGACTCTCCACGGCTAGGGACACTCTGCGTTTGGGCACTGGTGGGATACTCCGCGGTTGGGCACTGCAGGGATACTCTATTGAGCGCTGCAAGGATAGGGCACTGCAGGCACATTATTCTGCATTCGGGCACCGCCAGATATTCTGCGGTTGGGCAGTGCAGGGATGCTCAGTGGTTGGACATTCTACTGCTGGGCACTGCTGGGATACTCTGCAGGTATTCTGGTTGGATTCCCTGCGGTTCAGCGTCGAACGGAGGGGGAACAGAACATAGATGTTTTAAAATCGAACAACCCCGGTAAGAGCGTGCGAAAAACAGAACGCTCGGCAAATTCTATCAATGTGTGCCATGCTCATCCAAGTGTTGCAAATGGGGGTAGTGAGTCTCCTCCAAATCCGCCGCTGTTCTTCAGGCAAGCACACTGCTTGGGAAGTCCTATCCAGATTTGCAAGAAGCTGCGTGCTCACATATGCAAATTGGTGACCGCGATGCTATGAAAAGCAGCGCAATGCCGGAAAAATTATATGAAAGACTGAGCGTTTTCTTGGGGCGAGGGGCAGCACAAAGCTTCGTTTTGACAGTTTTGTGCAAACAGGGAGTGAGTTTTTTGGGTCAGATGTGTTTTTTTCGGGTTTAGCATTTTGAAGTTTTCAGGTTGAATTTGGGATTTAGTGTTTTTAGGGCTGTTAGGGTTTTTAAGGTTGTTCGGACTTTCAGGGTTGTTAGGGTTTAGGGTTTTTAGGGTTTGTTGTCTTTTTGGGCTTAGGGTCTTCAGGGTTTTTAGGTTTTTGGGGGTTTGGTTGGGTTCGGCTTTTTTGTAGGGTTAATGGTTTTTCGGGTTGAGGGTTTAGAAAGCCTTTCGCGTTTAGGGTTTCAAGGTTTAGGGTTCTCAGGGTTGAGGGTTTTTGGTGTTGTTAAGGTTTTGTGAATCTTTAGGGTTTAGCGTTTTGGGGTTTCAGGTCTGTAGGGTTTTCAAGGTTTACGGTTTTTAGTGTTTAGTGTCTTTTTAGGGCTTCAGGTTTTTTGGGGCTTCAGTGTTTTTAGGGTTTAGGGCTTTGAGTTTTTTGAGGGTGTAGGCTTGTTAGGGTTTAGGGGTTTTAAGGTTTAGGGTGTGCAGGGTCTACGTTTTTCTTTTTTTTAATGGGTTTTCAGTGTTTTTTTGGGTTTAGGTCTTTTGTTGGGTTTAGGGTCTTTCGCTTTTTCAGGGTTTAGGTTTTTTTGGTGTCTTTTGAAGTTATTTTTTCTTTTACTTTTTAGGCCGTATTACCACTCGACATGGCACAGGTTCACGTTAAAAAAGATCGGGGAAGGTTGGGGGGCCCCCCCCCTCCCTCCCCAATTGCAAGCCATGGAGGAATGTGGCACTTGTTGATGAGTGGTAGTTGTTGATCAGGATTCACTATTCAACCATGATACGGCTTCATGTTCAAACGCAACGGCGCCCTGTTGATGCGGGTTCATTTTTCGACATGATGCGGGTTCATTTTCAGCCATGTCCGATTCTTTGCTACGTCCGATTCTTCCTATCTCCGCGCCCAGGCCAAAAAGAAAGGATGTTGCTGCCTGAAACTGCGCCTTTCGCGGGGATTGTTTTGGAAATTGCCGCGTGTAGCCAGCAGCAATACCTCCGTAACACGTTTGGTGGCAGTTTCCGCATGTGAGCAAAAATGCGAGGCCTTCCTGCCTGAAGGTTCAAAAACACTGCGCCTGCGCAAGGATTACGAGATGTAGACTCTCACTTGCCAGCAGGTCTTCCCATCCAGAGTCGCCTCTGGACGTGGAGGTTCGCGACGCGGCAGCGCTTTACATCTTCATAAGACACTGTGCTCTTTGCCGCGAAGAGCCTGCTTAAGCCAGTGACTACCCGTATGGCTACTGCTTCTGTTACTGTTATTGCAACTTCTGCCACCACCAGTTTTTTAGTGTAGGACAACGACGAGTATTCTCACTCTCACTTTCAATGTTCGGCAGCCGGCGATCCCAATTCTTGCTTGTCATTTTCATAAACTGAGTGCGTTTCGATACTTGCGACGTTATTGTTCGGTGCTTAAAAGAATTGAGCCCTATCCAATGGCCACGGGCCACGAGGCAATCTGGAATCCGCGCTTCCCCAGTGGACATTCGCAGAGCTTGGAGGGATATGAGGGATTTCTTGACGAAGACGCACTTCTGCAAGAATCAAGCTCACGGGGGCGGGGTCTGCGGGTTGGGGCTGGGAAGGGAAAAAGGACGCAGCCTGGCCAGCCTGTTCCAGACGCAATCAAGCGCCCATAGGACGAGGTTAACCGAGGTTAATTCTCTATCTGAATGTGTTTGGTCGCTTGGCGTTACTTTCACAAATTGTCTGCGAGGCGATCGCGGAAGCTGCTGTGGCTCCGATGCCTTCTACAGGCAATACACCCGGGCTGTTGTCATAGACCTTCCTTTCCAACAGCATTATGCCCTTCGCACATTGGCAGGCTCTTTGTTAAAGCCGCGTAGGATGGGACATTGCAGCATTTGCAAGCCGCAGCGCAATAATGACCTGGCTGCTCTTCCAGTTCCCACAAAGAATGATGACAGGGACACGTTTCTGGAAGAGGCGGCAGTTGGAGAGGAGCTCGGGCACTAACTTCAGGCATTTATCACGAACCCCCCTTGTGCAGCATGCATTTGAGCCGACTTGAACAGCTACTGTTGCCTCTAATTTAATTGCTAGCTCGAGTGCTGCCTCGCCAAATGCGGCAGGGAAGGGCTTGATTGAAGTGGCCTGGTATTGCTTCCGGCCTTCCGGCCCCAGTGCAATGATGCCGTCAAACAAGCTCCGCTGCTTTTTAATGTGTCCGCGTAGCTTGCAGTGGAAGCAAGTCCCTCTTGAGCTCACGGGCATTAGCAGCCCGAGTCCCTGGTTCCTTCCCTCCAAATGCCCCTTTTGGCCATTGGCCTCGGCGGATTTCCTGCTGCCGATGCGCCTCGTGACCGCATTGTGACCGGCAAGGAGAGCATCTCGCACTTTGCGTGGGAACAAGCCCGCTTAAAGTCGCTGAAAGGCCAGCCCGAGAGTTGAGAACTTATCGGGCTGTTTGATGTTTGAATGAGCCTGTCAGGCCAGGTCTTCCTGGACTACACCAAGTTCTCAGCCGCACAAGCTGCCTCAGTCACCTGATACAGAAGTCCTGAATGGTCAGTTGATGTCCCCGTGCCGGTCGTCTAAAACAGGCTTTCACGCGCCGCCTCTCTGGTGCGCTGCCAGACCCTCTGCCCAACAAGGCCCATGCTGCAAAGAGAGATCTCGCCCCGAAGCATTTGGTCACATGCTTTCTCGCAGGATGTCCTCTCTCCTTTAAGCGATGGGTCCGCAAGCCCTGTGAGCAGCGTGGCGGCAGTCTACTGGTGCAGCCCGGATTCGCCAAGTGGCACCGGCCCAGGTCCTTTCAGCCGGACATTTTCTGACTGGACGCGAAGCTCCGACTGGCTCGGCAAGACTATGAAGGAAGCTTGGATAGCACAGGTATCCCCGACACAAGCATGACCTTGATTCAATATCCAGACGGTGATCTTCTATGCTTTCACGTGCTTGAGATGGTACGGTTGAAATGGATTTGAAGACATAACTTGCCAGTGTCAAATAGAATTTCGTCAAGTCAAGCTCAGAAAAATGTATAGCACTGAATTTAGTCAACCTCGTGCACGAGCGGTGCCACCTGTCCCATTGGCTTTGCCTAGACGTTCAAGAACTTCATTCATCAAGACGAGATCCATATGAGTTGGTTTGCACAACTCAGCCACAATTCAGCTGTGAATGAGCCGTGGAAGCACCACCAGACAGAAACCAGCGTTTTCTCTAGTTTTGCAAAACTGCACTGCATCTGGTCCTGCTCGTTGCTGTGTTCAGTGCTTTGCAAGTGCGAAGATGACAGCACGACAAAGCCGTTTGCAGGCTTGCTTTCAGTCTCTGGCTACAGATTTTGGGTCTCAGAACTCTCGTCCGTCCTTCTTCATGCCCTGAAAGCGCTGCAATTGAAGCCATACCACCCCGATCTCCACTGCCTCATGCCAAAAGTAAGGAGTGGAAGAAGGAGGGGTTACCGCCAAACAATAGTCCGCACTGGAAGAAAGGTGATGGTGCCGGACTGGAGGCGCACTCTTCTCACATTGCTTGGGGCACTGAGTTCAATGGGCGCCTGATGAAGGTCCGCTGTGGGACTGACTACAAGAACAAGCGCCAGCATATGACGACAGATCCTGGCCACATGACTCCAGGCCGCAGAATCATGATACATTGTGCTTCTTGTTGGTGCTAAGTGGCATGCTATCAATAGCTGCCCCGCATTGGGCTGCGATATGCGAACAGTGTGGGCGATGGCAAAATGTGGGAAACCGATTGCCGTTCTTATCAGCTGGCACAGGCATGCAACAGAGGTGCTGGTAGCCTAGGTATATCACCTTGACGGTTGATGCTATATGCTCTTCGGTGCCTCTTCACAGCATCGTCGGTAGTGTGGTGCATGCCTTAGCCCACACGAGAACAAGCTGTTAGTTGCAGCGGGCATCAATGGCGTCGTCATGCATCATTTGCTCATTGTCAGGTCAGCTCACTGCCCCCGATCTCTCCAAAGTGTGAATGGCGAGCCTCAGCTTGAACCTGCCCAAGCACTTACCGAAGTTACTGACAGGGTGATTGTCCTAATGTCCAGCCACAGCGGATGGCCGATAAAGTCTTTTTGCAAGAGCTTCAGTTCAATGATTTCAAAAGCATGTGAAGGCAACACTTACAAAAGGTCCTTGCGTTATGCGTGACCGGAGGTAGCAGTGTAGCTAGACAAGCGGCGCAAGCTTTTGGAAGTTGCTAGTAGAGACGTCAGGTTCTGGCTGCCCGCTGCCGAGGATTCTTTGCATTAATGCCACTTGCTTGCAGACCCTGTTTTTCTCCCTCCCTTTCCTCCAGTCTCCCGCGAGCGTTCCCTCCTTTTAAGTCATTTGCTTCAAGACCGTGCACTGCTGGCCCATGCGTTGCTTCCTCTTCTGAATTGAACTGACGGAGTGACCCAGACACAATAAAGTCTATGCAATTGTTTATCTTACTGCAGGTCGGGTTGTCTCGCGTCGGCTTGGGTTTTGTGGGTTTGTTACATGTCGAGCAGCGTTCATACTGCGGGACCCAGTTCAAAAAACATTTACTAGAATGGATGATAATGGATGTCATGCAACAGCAATTCTTGCAATTGTGCTGTTTCTACAGCGTCCACGGCGTTTCAGCTCATGACGCGGCATGTTTGTATGACATTGCTGTATGTTGCACAAAACCAACGTCTACCAGTGGCTTCATGGGAAATCATACGAAATTTAGGACTCAAATCCTGTGATTTGCTTCTCAAACCCCAGCGTCCGCAGCAGAATGGGAAAATCTACCCTTACGTCGGGTTGCCCTGGAATCGGCGTCTACATGGGGATTACCGTTTTCTGATGCGTCAACATCCCGCTGATGCGAAATCTTCCCAATGCCAGCGTCCGCAGTAGATGATGTGTATTCTCACCGAGTGGGGTGTGTGGTGGAAGTAGGCGTTTGAGGATGATCTGTGGCTTGTGACACTGAATGTCAAGTTCTGTCGTTCTTGTCCAACCTGCTTGTGCTTCATCCTGTTACCTGAACCATCCTCCAGATTCTTGGGCTGGCAGATTTGTTGCAGCTCGACTCCTTGCAAGGTGATGCTACCGCATTACAATCCAAAGAATCCATGGGCCAAAGACGAAGGCGGGTGCAGCAGCTCGCCGGATCTGGAACAGCATTGCAAGCCAGCCGCATCACACAGATCTGTCTCATGTGTCTGTAACATTCTGTTGCTTCTTCACACCCGTACCTTCCCAAAGATGCATGAGGCAGGCGGCAGGCTCGGAGGCGGTGTGGCAAAATGACTTTGACATGGCACGAAGTGAGCAAGCAAGGCAGATGTACTGTGCTTCGAAGTTTGCAAAGAGATGCAAAGAGAAAAACTAAACAGAACAATCAGCAACGCACAAAATCCCTTTGACACCTGCTCTGAGGTTATGTGGGCTTTTTCGAGATCACCAACGAAACGGTGGAGCACTCGAGCGTGAGTAGAACAGAAAACTGCACGAGGAACGAAGCCTACTATATCAGGGGTCACGCTTTCTTACCCTGATATCAGAGTTGCCTGGAAAGGTGGCACAGGTGAACAGTTCCTCGCCAGCGCCATGTGCTGCTCACCAGCACTTCATTCAGACTGGATCCTGAAAAGCGGCCAATTGCGGCTGCATGCCTACTCAACCCATGGCATGTTTGGTGCTGGTGGCACTACTTGAGGTTCGTATGTTTCGCAAATTCTGCGAAGGCCAGGCTTGCCATTGTGGTCCACCGAGTTCTCATATCGCCTTTGATGAGCGAATGTCAGGACCCGGTGGAGAGCCTGGTTGTGCTCCAGACCATCCTGACAGGACGCAGAAATTGTGCCACGCATGCACTGCACACGTAGGTGCACTCCTGAGTTCCCATGAGGCCTCTTCTATCCGGATGGGGCATGTTTTTAAAGGTTCTACTGGCACAATGAAGAGGTCCGGGCTGCTGAGTGCCCTGCGCATCCCTGCGCCAGGAGTGCATATCGACGTCGCGACACCTCCAAGCGGAAGGCCAGCAAGCTGCTTTCGCCACCATTCAGAAAGCGTAATTAAAAACAATTCTTCAAGTACTGGTCTGATAGGCCACGAAAGCACTAGGTTTCCTCTTGAAGACACGTGTTGGGTTGAGCTCACAGCCACGGTCTCACGTTCACCATTCAATGCACGGTGCATGCAATAAGGATACGCAGAAATTTGGTGAATGATCTCCCCATTTCCCCCAAGGGCCCAGAATTGATGAAAGTCAGTGGATTACTGAGAAAGAGGGAAGCGCATCGCAACGACTTTCAACCTTTGTGGGGCTGCACGTGGCGCGCTCTTTGCGCACATAGCTTGTGGTCTGAGGATGTTTGAGGTAAACGAGTCGGGAGGCAGATCGAGTTCAAGCCTGGTTTCGGCGCTCCAAGCCGCCAGTGCTACAAGCAGAGCTTCATGAGCCTTGAGAGGACATGGATGCCGGACTGCTGCGAGCTGCGGGGTGGTGTTTGAACCAAGCCGAGCCCCTCGAACTACCTAGGTTTCTTCGCTTTTGCTTGGGTGAACTTGCCTTCAGTTCATGTTGCTCCCGGCGTAGCCTAGGCTCGGTGTTCCAGAATTTCTTCACCAGTTGCTCGGTTGATGTCTTCTGCATGCCAGTCTTGTCTTCCAGCAGGATCATTGTAGCTACATTGACTCTGAGGTTCAACGGCAAGTCCTTCGTAATCGCAGACAGCGGTCACTTGGCCTTGAAGTCGGTTTTTTTCCAAGCTTCGTGCCTAATGTATTCAGAAAAAGTCGGCCATCTCCCAGGAATCGGCTGTCCAGGCAGTGTATCGTCATGGGCTGGGTACGGATTTGTGTAGTAAGCTGAGGAACTTACTTGGGTAACGTTGACAGTTGACAGTGCCATCGTTCTAGCATTGCTCAGACGGCATCTGGCTCATCGCCCTGGTGCAAATTCGCGCGGTATCCCATCACGTCCTGCGGTGCATGGATTCTGCCACGTGATGTGTCGCAGTCCGCGAGTAGCTATTGAAGTGTCGTAGGCTACGTCATCAAAGATCCTGACGGGGAGTGGCTGGAAGTGGGTCCGACCCTGAGATGTCTAGCTGTTTGTTACGTGGAGAATGCCAGTCCCACTCATGGCTTACCCGGCACAATTCGTTTTGGTCATCGCTCCGCCCCCTAAGCCCGGGCATGCAACCGCAAAGGCTTTGAATGCTTTGTGGGCTCGGGGGAGCGCGGCCCAAAGGGTGTCTCGCATCTCTAAGATGGGAGAGGTTGTTGGAAGCAGCACATGCAGACGAAGCAACCAAAAACATCCAGACTGCCGGAGCTTCACGAGCACAGCAACATCAACCAAAGAAGACAAGAAGACCACAGAAAGGAGGAAGTGGAGCCAGGGCCTGTAGGGCAGCACATTCTTCCGGCGGATGATGCAGCGCCAGCTGTTGGTCTTCCAGCCTCAACGGATTTGGGAAACTTCATGTCTGCAGTCTGTTGCGCCCAGGGGTCGGAGGGTGGGAGCCTCTGAACGCCTCTGGGCCAGGGCCGAGGCGAAATGAGGCGAATAAAGCAACCGGCGGGCGTCACTGCGACCTTTTCAGGGGCTTCTGGATCGGATTTGAGTTTGGCAGAGCACTTGGAAGAAAGGCCTTGGCTGTGGCTCAGGAAATCCTAAAATTACATAAAATGACTGTTGCAACTGGCTGGGACTGTTTCAGGATTTGATGTTCGCAAGTTCCCCTTCCTGTTCGTTGACGTGCTGTACAACTTCCGGGACTTCATCCCACTAGCACCTCGTTGGGCACCATAGAGCAAAGATTTCAGAAGAGTGAGGGTGTATGGGAGACATCAAGGAATTGCCAGATACTGGGAAAAGGGCAGCTTTTGACGGATTGCTGAGAGATGCTTAGAGCCTGCGCCGCGCAGACCATCAATGGCAGCCCTGATCCCGAAGACTCAAATCTGTTGCAGCCCGGAGCCGTTGCCAAGGCAAAATGCCATTACGGTTTCACAGTCCAGGCGGGGGTGTTGAAATAGCGGGCAGTTGGTTTTTGCATTGTGTTGCATTTTCTGCAGCTAGTTGCCAAAGTATCGATCAATAATCAATTCCCTTTATTGGATCCTTCAAAGATCAGCACAATGGGCAGAACTTAACGAATCGCACTTTTTGGCCATCTGCAAAGCCTGCGATGAATCAATCAAACCCTCATGTGGGATCCTTCAAGTATTTGTCACTCTGATCCCACTCCGGAGTCAGATTCCACTGTTGGATCACTCACATATCTGCAAACTAGACCCGAGTCGATCAAGTCCTATTCTGCGTTTCCAACATAGATATACATAGATATCCCTCGACATGAAGTGCTTGCAGCGGTGCAGGCCGTGGAAGATGAGGACCTACCAGAAGGAATCATTTGTGCCTCGGCATGCATAGGCCTCGGGATGAACAACAGTTTTCATTGCAAGCTCTGGACGAGGTGCTAGCTTTCTTTGTCTTCCCACATCGTCTTGAAAGTCTCGAGTTCATATTGCACACCCGCGAAGTACCACCATTTGCTGCAGGTTGGGCTAGAGCTGAAACAATCACATGAAACTGCGCTTGATCTTCCCGCTTAGTTTGCAGATTTCAAGCAGCTCATCCTGAAATCCACCGAACCGATCTGCCACATCTCTGCAATCCGAACTTTAGGTACCTCATCCTGATGTCAGAACATAGATGACATGAGAGAGAGAGAGAGAGAGGCCGTAATTTTGAAGTGAGGGGCTTGCGCATGGGAAGGTGGGGCTGACATGAGAGAATTGCCTGGAAGAGCGGCGGCAATCGGTCCCTTTCCTTTTGCCTCCGAGAAGTGCTTGCACATGACATGTTTCCCACGCGCGGTTATTGCTGATGTCAGGGCTTGCCAGGTTGAGTGAGCGTTGGAGGGGCTCCGGGAAACATGAGGGTAGGCTTGCACTTAATGCAGATCCTGCGACAGCTGGAGAGTACAGCTCGATGACATGCCAGCAGTGCGTGGCGTCGGGAGACTCCGCTCAGCAGACGTCTTGCAATTAGACAGCCGAGGCAACATTTTGGAGTTGCTACTGCCCACCTTCATGTATTTGGTCATCATTTAACGGGTTGTGAATGCTCTGGTACTGTTTCCGTTTGTGGTGCTGTGCTGTTTTTTTTTTCACACCGACCAGACCGGGCTGGACCCAGCTTGCGGCACTGCCGCAGCGCACCTCGTGAGGGGTGCGTGCAGCTGTGAGAAGAAGAAGAAGAAGAGAGGCCGTAGCCATTTTGGCTCAAGTCTCCTGCCGCTCCTGAGGCCTTGGCCTGTGAAGGGGTCCCCCGGCGCGGCCCGCAACGGGAGCGGAGGGTTCTCTACTCCTGGGGCGGGTGGACTTCGCTTGGGGGGGGGGCTTGGGCGCCTCGGGCAGCCATTTGCCAGCCAAGAGCACTCTGCTCTGCGTTAGCTTCCCGCCCTGATAATATCCCCTACTGTACCGCTCATTGCCCTCTGCCGAGCCTGCGACTTGAGGAGGCCGAGGGTGACTGGACCGACACTCTCTGCGACCTCGAGCTGACCGCTGTCGAATACCACTACGGCACCCTTGCTCCCGGACGGTGGCCATGTCGACAAACCCTCCTGCGGTAGGGGCCTTGGGACCCACGGAAGACATGCGAAGGGCAGCCGCCACTCCCATAGACTGTGACGTGGAAGATCTACAGAACCAACCAGGTGTGCTGGCCAATGGAGATTCACCGTCAAAACGCACGCGCTGGGACGTGCTGCCGCAGGCGGCAGGAAACACGGGGGCCACACCCTTGACGCTCGAACAGCTTACCACGCAGCTGAGTGCGGCTCTTGCCCCTGTTACAGGAGGAATGCGTGCCCTGCAGGACCGAATCACTAGCTTGGAGAGTGAGGTGACCAGTAAAGTTGGGTCTACATTACAGCTCATCCAAACTGTGGATCAGCGCCAGAAAGTCATGGGGGCGCAGCTCGAGGAGGTGTGTGGCAAGGTTGAGTCGCAAGCACAAAAGACCCGGGACCAAGAAGCCACCATCCAGGAAGTGCTGCGCAGACTTGAGACCCTGGAGCAAGAGGGATCGGGACGTAACCCACCTATCTGGAGGAGAATGAGTGCAGCCTCCCCGGAAGATGACCGAGACCCGGCAGTGATCGTTGGTGGATGGGGGCCAGACACGGAGGCAGAGCAAACACTTAAGGAGGTTCGGGAGTTCATCCAGAATAGGGCGATCCCTTTGCCGATTGAGGAGGCCTTTGTACCGGGCAAGCAGAGGGGCTTCGCGGTAGTCCCTTTGACGTGTGTCGGGAATGAGACACACCAGATGATGCGGCGGGCTGTTGCGGCGATGGAAGCTACCAGACGACTCCAGGCCAAGTCCGGCCACAAGGACGCTGAAGGCAAGGACATGGTCATTTGGGCGGCGGTGTCCCAACCACCAGAGGTTCGAAGAAAAGCGAAGCTGGTGGCCAAAACCAAGAAAGCGGTGCTGGAGAGCTATGAGAAGTCGGGCAACAAGGCCGGGAACAAGGAACTGGCGGTCAAGGCGGACTACCGAAGAGGCACGCTTCATCTGGAAGGCCGGGAAATTGGTGGATCATTGCAACCGGCGTCCGGAGAGATATTAGTCTGCGACCATGGGTGGGTGGACGCTGCCTTGGTGTGCCAGTACACGAAGGAGGTGACACAGGAGTTCGCCGACCGCTGGCACAAGCTAGTGGACATGATAAACTGAGACTTCTCGCGAGGGACTGACGGTGAAGAGGAGACGACTGAGGATGCAGGCGCACAGAGTGAAGAATTCGGAACCGAAAGGAACATGTACAGACACCTTGGAAGCTCCTAGTGGGCAATGCACTGCCAGGGCTGCCAGCACAGAGCAACCCGGGAGGGCACCCTGCCAAGACAACCGATCTGGAGATGGCCGAGCCAGTCCAGTGGGACATACTGAGCACGGCGGCAAATCCGGGGCATGGCCGCCCAAGTCTCTGGCAGAGGTGTACAGAATGCCGGAACACAGAATTCGCATACAATGCTGGCAGAGCGAACGGAGGCCAACCAATACAGCCCCCTAGATGACGTACCGTGGAGTATTCGAGTGACCTTGGGAAAGAAGAGGAGCGGCCCGGAGACTGCTGCTGCGAGCACAACCAGAGGAATGCATGAGGAACCGAAGAGCCGAAAAGATGCCCATACGGGTCGAGCGCACAGCAGATCCATGCAGAGACACCTGAAGAAGAGCAGACGCAGAGAGCGAGACCACACACACGAGGCCCGCTTTGACATCAGAAGTAGACGCGCCAGAGGTAGGAGTCGCAGTAAAGGAGCTGGAGGGGGGAAGCGATGCGCGCGGGAGGGGAGCAGGGCGAGGCAGGGCAGTGAGAGGAGCAAGGGGTGAAAGAGGGGGGACAGGGGCAGAATTAGACACCTGGAACCTGGGGGGAACGCAGATGGAGAGACTACCAGACATTCTAGGTAGCCTTATCGGTTGTGGAGTCAGAGATGTGGTGGTGGTGGCCTTCCAGGAAGTGAACATGAGCGCGGGCGTTCACTACCTCAAGGCAGGACCTGGGGATGACGGATGGCTGATAGTGGCAGGCAAAAATGAAGGGGAGTGGAGAGGTAGAGCAACGGCCATCAGGCGCCGATTCGGGGTAGTCGCGCACCGCCAGACAGAGACAGGCAAACAACTGACAACATGGGAAAGTATGTGTGCCGCCAAAGAAAAGGCCCTCATGATCATGGGAGACTTCAATGAGACATTGACCAGGGAGAGGGAGTCCGATGAGATCACACATCGCACAGCCAGAGGAGCTTTGTTGGTGCACTGGTTCCACGTGTTGGACATGAACGCACCCCCCCAGCAAATTGGCATGCCCTCCTACTACCCGTACAATCAGGCACATAGGCCCAGAAGACTTGACTATGTCCTTGTGCGAGGGGTGGACAGCGCAGAAGGAGGAGAGGTGCACCCTATTAGACAGATGGCAGCCAGTGACCTTGAAGGCGTAAGCGTTGCCATTCTGGGAGCCAGGAAACAACCAAGAGCAGACTGCGGGGCCAGCATGCAACCCAGGCATGGGCCGAAGGAACTCAAGCCGCAAACAAAGCTCGAGCAAGCTCTCAGGGAGACGCCGCGGTGTCGAGGAGACCCGCAACAAGCCATCCAGCAGATGGCGAATGACATCACCCAACCTAGACGAAATTACCGAGCATTTCGAGAAAGTAGAGAAATCAAGCAGCTCAGGGTCCAGGCCAAACAAGCCAGGGATGGGCAGCAGGCAAGGATCCTCTGGAAACAGACGTGGAGATTGAGGGCAAAGGAGAAGGAAGCATGGCAAAGGGAGCTTCTGACGGCAGTCCTGGCTAAGGACTGGCAGGCGCTAAGGGCGACCAAAGCGGCCAGACGGACGGAGGTATGGGAAGAAGAGCTCACAACACAAGAAAGTTGGAAGGAGACCATGCAAGAGCACTTTGAGGGAATCTTTGCAAAAATGCCAGCAGCACAGGTGAAGACGGGATTAGCAGAGATCTGGGCTCAGCTCCAACATAAGTGCAAGACCACCAGGTGGCGCCCCTTTAGCACGGAAGAGGTGAGTCTAAGCACGATGTCATGGGCATCGGGCAAGAGCGCAGGACCGGACGGCATCAGCTATGAAGCCTTCAAAGCGCTGCTGCAGCACAGGGAGTGGGAAGCAACTATCCTAGAAGAGTTCAACGACGCCCTGTACAAAGGCCGTGCCCCAGCTAACACGAAGAAGTCCATCACCATCCTCCTACCTAAGACAAAGCAGCCAGCAGAGTGGGGGCAAACCAGACCCATCACGCTCAGTAGTAGCATGCTCAAGTGGCAAGCCCAACTACTCCTGGGTAGGAGAAGCCATCATGCGAGATGCCAGGTACCAATTTGCCAGACCTGGAAGGCAGGCCCCAGAACTGGTTTTGATGCTGCGGAGAGTCATCCGCATATGTCGAGAGTGGGACGTGCCCGTGCATGTAGCCAAAGTGGACGTGTCGAAAGCGTTCGACACAGTATCACAACTGTGCCTTGCGGAAACCATCAGGGACAAACTGGGGGATGGCGGCTGGGCTTGGGAAGCCCGCCTCTGGACTGACTTGGTCGGCAATGATGGCATTGATGTGCAAGTTCGGAATGAAGCTCACGGCGTACCGCAAACAAACGGTGTGCGGCAAGGGTCTCCGGACTCGCCCGTCATATTCGCCTGTATTGTTGGGGACGTCATGAACGAAGCGGAAGCACAAGCCAAGCAACAAGCAACACCGCAAAACCAGGAAAGAGTACCAGACAGGGGCCCCGCTTTGCCCCATCATACAGCAGGTTTCCAGGACGACGTGTGTCTCTGGGCGCTGCGCAGACCTTTCTTGCAGCTGTTGCTTGAC